CTCGGAAACCCAAGGAGGGGTCACTATGAGTCGGGGCCAACTCCACGGCAAAACAACAACAACAACAACAATAGGTTTCTCTATAAAACCAAAGAAAATTCACTGCCATCGAGACTGATCCAACTCGTAACAACTCCTCCTTGGTTTTCCAAGGCAGTATCACTATGGAAGTAGATTGTCCAAACTTCCTTCCAAGGAGTGGCTAGTGGGTTTGTACCACCAGCCTTCTGGTTAGCAGTCAAATGCCTTAGATACTAGGCTACCAGAGTTCCCATGATTCTCTCTATAGAATATTAATTGCAGCTTTGTTATAGCCTGAAACAGGAAACAATCCAAATATTTGGGTAAATGGATAAAAAATTGTGATATATCCATAAAATAGAATATGACTTAACAATAAACAGAAATGAACTATGGATGAATCCCAAGATAATTATGCTAAGTTAAATAAGACAGATACTGCATCACTCCATGTATATAAGATTCTAGAAATTAAAACTAATCTATAGAAACAGAAAGATCAGTGGTTTCCTGTGACAAGAGGTCCACAGCAGAGAGACGTGAAAGTGATTACAAAGGGAAATGTTTGGATTTGATATGTTTATTGTCTTGAATGTGTTGATGGTTTCATGAGTGTATATGTGTATCCAAATAATACACTTTAAAAAGTCCTTTTCTTGGATGCCATTTATAACTCAATAAAGTTGATTTTTTAAAAAATTGTGATCATCTCATGTTACCTTCCACCTATGTTGTCCCTATTTTTTTTGACATTAAAAAAAAAATTCTTTAAAAATTTTTCTTGTGGTCCCATGGTCTCAACACCACCAATTTTCTTCTCAACATGATTTGGTTCACATCTCTTAATAGGAAAACCTTATCAAGATCACCACTGTCCTCCATCTTGCAAAATCAATGGTCAATTCTATGTCAGCATCTTTATCAACATATCAGGAGCTTTTGTCATAATTAATCCATCCCTTCATTTGACTTTCAAAATATCACTCTCTGTTTTCTCCCTGTTTCACTGACTTTCTTGGTTCTTTAACTTCTGCCCAATCTCTTAATGTTGAAATGTCCCTGGACCCAGTTCTTAGCCTCCTTTCTTCTCTATTTATACCCATTTCCTGGGTGATTTTATCATTGCTTTTATCATGGAGTAAAACACTACCACCAATGACCATTCAATGTGTTTAAAACACTGAGGTCTATAGGAGGAAGATGCTGAATAGTCAACGGGCTAATAATCTAGTTGAACTGAGAAAGCTAATATATAGGAAACCTCAAGAAAAACAAAGACAATTAAAAGATAAGGATTTGAAAGTACAGTACAGATTCTAGGTGCTTCCAGAGAATCGTCCAAACTGTGTTTTCCATTGTACTCCATGCACTGCATCTGCGCTTTTGTGCATCACTGTCCTCAGCTCGGGTGGTAATTTTATGTAAAATGCATCCAATTTCTCCAAAACTACTTAGCATTGATTTTGCATTTGAAGAGTTTCAGAAACATCAACATTCCAAAAATAAACGGCATCATGATTCTATTAGAGCTCAAGCAAAGTCTGCAGGCTTCACTGTTCTTTGTCATTATTTTTAGAAATTAAATCTTCCTGTAATATAAACCAAGCTGTCTCCGAGCAGATCACAGCTTGCCCTTCATCAGTCTGGGCATCGCCCTTTTCATTCTCCAAGGTAGACGTAAGGTGGGGTCACTCAAGATAGGGGGATGGCTTCCAGTGCCCTTAGAAAACTGGGAAGATCCATTACTTCACATCTGACCCTCACATGGAGTGTGAAGACCTCAAATCACTATGACAGACTTCAGCTAATCTTTCTAGAACAATCCTTTCAAAAGAAAGAGATATAAGCAGTCTTTTGAAGAGGACAGAGACATTTCTATTTTTTAAACCAGGTGAATACACTTTCCTCTTCAGATATCAATTTTTATTTATAAATCTGGTTTGAAAAAGGTATTGTTATTTTACAAATTCATCTTTTTGGTAACAGAAACAATTACTGCCTCCATATCTAAGTACCTGAGGAAAAACGTTTGCAAAGCACTCTCTTCCTTTCACCTGCTTCTATATCCAAGTCACTCACTGCCCGGCAGTTAAACAAGTCATTTGATAGAGACCTCCCTGAATATTTCCTTTCTGCTTTGTCAGTAGTCTCATTTCCTCATTTTATCTTTTCACAATCAGTTTTATCACCATGGACTTCCTGCTTAATACTTAATTATCTTACCTTACTGGTAAATTACTCAGTCAAACCAAAACATTAATTTCACTAATCAAAAGGCAGAGGGCTCTTCACCCAGGGTGTCCAACTTACATATTTCTGACTCAGATACATCTACTGTGTTCTGTGCCACCTCAATAATGTGACATTATTTGGGCTAATAAAAACCATCACCTTAGGTAGTCTGAGTTTCTTGCATGTTTGTTTTTCAGTTTCATAAATGAGTCACTTAACTTTTTCAATATGTTTTATTTTCCTATTGTGAAATGTGGCCATTACACTGTAGACAAGAGGCCACCATGCTCATGGTATTTTCTCTGCAGGCCTTACAATTTGGAAATTATTTGAACATAGATTTGGGAGATGCTTCAGGTCATTACTTATTCAACATAGGTAGTAGAAACTTGTATTCTTACTAGGAAAATTGACTTGAGAGATAGTTGATTTCCAATTTTGTCTGCTGATAGTCTAATGATCCTTTTGATGGCACAGATTTAAACCTCTCCTTACCCTTCAGTAGGATAATCACATTTGCTTGATACTCAAAAGTATTTTTCAAACTTCTTTGTTTTAAAATTGTAGCACCAAGCACCAAGAGTAGTTTAACTGTACTGTGTGAAAAGAAGCCCTAGTGCTACAGTGGTTAAAGTGCTCAGCTGTGAACTGAAAGGTCAGTGGCTCGAACACACCAACCACTCCATGGGAAAAAGATGTAAAGATTACAACCTTGGAAACCCTATGGAGCAGTTCTACTCTGTCCTATAGGATTGCTGGGAGCCAGAATTGACTTGACAGTAATGGTTTTTCAGTTTGTGTAAAAACTTCTAATACATCACCACTGTAGACATAAGAAAGTTCAGACTCCTCAGCTTGGCAGTCAAACTCTCAATGGCATGATTTGAATTTGACCTTCTAAGCTTCCCTGCTATTATATACTTCCACGCTACTGACACTCTAACCAAGGTGATTTATGTATTCTTCCCTGGGCTCTACCTCCTTTCCTTTGCTTATGCTGTTCCTAGACCACCTCTCTATCTAGAATATCATCTCTGACATTTCTACATATCCAAATCCCTGTGTGAGAATGTGAGCAAGGGTCTAGACTAAGGATGGAAATTCCAGGAATTGGGAAGAATTCAGTCCCCGTAACTGTGAGAATGACTGCCTGTGTACTGCTAGCTTCCCTGTGTGGTTAGCCCCTTGAGGAAATATAGCGAGTCAAGGAGTCTTACAGACAGTAGATGATTGCTCTGAGAAAGACGAGCTTATAAGCAGTTTAATGGAATGAATGGGCAGAGGCTTTGGATTGAGGCAGACCTGATTCTTTGGATTGAGACAGTTCTGCCATTTTGGCCTTGGATTTAACCTGTCTGAGACTTAGTTTCCTCATCTGTAAAACTGTGATTGGGTGACATTCAAAGGATTGCTAAGAGGATTAAATTAAATAATATCTGTAAATATTTAAATGTCCAACACTACAGTTTGCTAGCCATGTGTGCACAGGACAAATGCAGAAAAACAGAAATGACAGTATAGTTTCTTTAGATAGAAGGCCTGAGATTGTTACCTGCTCCCACTTCCTGAAATATAATTTCCCAAGCTCTGTAGATATAATATGGTAGACCTAAAATTTTCATGTGTCTTAGAAGCTGCTGGAGTGTGGAGTATAAATTTAGTCAAGAGCTGGGGGAATCTCTGAACCTGTCAAGAAGAGGTAATCAGTGATCATTTACCATCAAGCCAACTGCGACCCTTGGCAACCCCTGTGTGTCAGAGTAGAACTGTACTCTATAGGGTTTTCAATGGTTGAAATTTTGGAAGTGGATCACTAGGCCTTTCTTCCAAAGCACCTTTGGGTGGACTCCAACCTCTAACCTTTCAGTTAGTAGTTGAGTGCTTAATCATTTGCACAACCCAGGGACTTCTGTGGCATGGTGGCCACCCAGTAACAAAGGCTCCAGGGAGAATGGCTAAAAGCCAGAGTGCTGAATGGAGTTTTAGAAAATTACCAAGTCAGGAAGAACCAAAGTGTATGTGGCTGAAACTGAATTGACTGCCCCAAGGACTCACACAATCTTTGTCTCTAACTCTGCTTTATGGCTAAGAGCAGCCAATGAGACAGTTCTAGCCAAGGAGATGCACGTAGAAATTTCTGGGAAAGGTGCTCCTTCCCAACCATTAGGTCAAACCATATGAAATTGCCATTTTTGTGGATTAAAAAATAGTTGAAAATCAACAATTTCAAATAGTCTGACCCACAGATAGCAAACGTTGCTTTCTATGAGAACTCTTTATCCTTTCCTCTTTGTCCTTTCCTCTAATTTCTGCTTGGAACAGAAGACTCATACCTAGATAGTCAATAGCAATCTTATGGCCCTCTGGATAAGCGGTAGGATGGCAGTAAAAGAAGATAAAAGGATTTTGAGACTTTGGTGACACCATTGACTGAACTTCTTGTTGTATGAAATTAATAAAGAACTGCTTAGCCATTATTTAAGGAGCTCTGTTGGTGTAGTGGTTAAAATATTCAGCTGTTAGCCAAAAGGTCAGCAGTTTGAACCCTCCAGCAACTCTTCAGGAGAAAGATGAGGCAGTCTGCTTCCATAAAGATCTGTAGCCTTGGAAACCCTACAGAGCAGTTCTACTACTAAAGGATCACTATGAGTGGGAATCAACTCAACCCAATGGCATTGGGTGGGTGAGTGGGTAGCCAGTACATAAGGTCTCTGATAATGCAGCTGAAAACAATCCTAATTGATGCAATGGTGCTCAGTGAGCAGGCAGAGGACTGCTGGGCCTTTACTGGTGGAAGAAATGACTGCAGAGAAACTGGCTTCAGGGAGTATAGTACTTCTCAGAATGATCAGAATATCCAGAGCAGAAACAAAGCGCATGCTGCCCCTGGAGACAACATGGTATAATTCCTTTCTAGGAAGGGAAGGCAAAGGAAAGAGAATGGAGGGAAGGGAAGGGAAGAGGAGGAAAAGACAGGGAGGGGGTGTGAAAGAGAGGAAGGAGAGGGCAGGACAAAGTAAGAGGAAGAGTAGCAAGAGATGAGGGTAGGATAACAGGAAGCCAGCTCATTTAAGACCTTCATAAAGGTGTGAGAGGAAGACCACGGATGGAGCAGGTTTGGGTTGGGAGGTGAAGATCAGAGCGTGTTAACTTTGAAGTGACAAACATCTAAGAAGAGATGCCAAGTTGTCAGCTGGGCATAAGATTCTAGATTTAAGTGGAGAGGTACACCCTACAGGGTCACAGGAGGGTTTCTCAGATTGAGTAATCAGGGGTAGTCTGTGCAGGTATGCACATGTGCTCAAAAAGAGACAAAAAAATTTGTACTTGCATCCATATGTTGTCAGTTGCTTGTAGACTATTTGATATTTACATGATAGAGCTGATGTTTAGGGGTTTAGGGAGGGTTAGGTGGAATAAATATTTGTTATGTGCTGTGGAGACATCTCCAACTCATAGTGACCCTTCTTTGGGTTTCCGAGGCAGTATCACTATGGAAGTAGATTGCCCAAGCTTCCTTCCAAGGAGTGGCTGGTGGGTTTGAACCACCAACCTTCTGGTCAGCAGTCAAGTGCCTTAGGGAGCTCTGGTAGCATAGTGCCTAAGGTACTTGACTGCTAACCAGAAGGCTGGCGGTTCAAACCCACCAGCTACTCCTTGGAAGGAAGATGGGGCAATCTACTTCCATAGTGATACTGCCTTGGAAACCCAAGGAGGGGTCACTATGAGTCAGGTCCGACTCCATGGCACATAACAACAACAACAACAGGTGGAATAATGTATATAAAGATATAAAGGGCATAGCTCAGAGTACACGTTGGATAAGTAATACTTTTGGGAGCTCTGGTAGCATAGTGCCTAAGGCACTTGACTGCTAACCAGAAGGCTGGTGGTTCAAACCCACCAGCCACTCCTCGGAAGGAAGACTGGACAATCTACTTCCACAGAGATACCGCCTGGGAAACCCAAGGAGAGGTCTTTATGAGTCAGAATTGACTCGACGGCAGTGAGGTTTTTTTTTTAGATAACACAAATGATTAAACGCATAGCTGTTAACTGAAAGATTGGCAGTTTGAATCCACCAAGAGGTGCCTCAGAAGAAAGGTCTGACTATTTATTTCAGAAAATCAGCCATTGGAAACCCTATGGATCACAGTTCTATTCTGACACACATGGGGTTGTCATGAGTCAGAATCAACTTGTCAGCAGCTGCTTTGTTTTTTTTTTTCGTTTACTGTTTCAATAGTCATTTAATTGTTCTAGTTTCCGTTCTTGGCTCCCCTAGCCTATTCTCCTCACAGTAATTTAATACCTTGTTGAAAATGTAAACTATATCATGCTTTAAAATATTCTGTAACTATCCATCACATTTAGAATAAAATAGAAAATCCTTCTTGCCTCCAGGGCTGCCTTGGTTCTTGCCTGTTTTCAGCTCTTGCTCTCCAGGCTTCTAAAAATTGTAGGAACACCCAATATCTTTTCAGTATGCCATTTGTTTAAATTAGTCAAAGTCAGTATCTGTTGTAAGAAACCAAAGAACCCTAGCTGATCTATCATTATAAACTCACTGCCATCAAGTTGATTCCGACTCATAGTGACCCTCCTTGGATTTCCGAGGCAGTAAATCTTTATGGAAGTAGATTGCCCAGTATTCCTTCCATGGAGTGGCTGGTGGGTTTGAACCACCAACCTTCTAATTAACAGTCAAATTCCTTAGGCACTATGCCACCAGAGCTCCTTAATATATTATTATATGTTATATAAATATTATTATTGCTATCACCACTACGAATAGCAGTGAAAATAATATATGTGTTTATAACTTTAGTCAGAGATAGCCAAGACTTAATTGGAAAAACAAATGAAGATATCAACTTCATGTCATTCCCTGGAGCCCTGGTAACAGTTTCAACTTATTCTCCTTCAGTGGACTATCAATTCCAATTGATGTTATTATCCATCTCCAGAAAACTCTTGGGAACCATTTTAAGACACCTTTCTAAAGCTCTAAATTTTCCCAAGCAGTCACAGTAAATCCAAGCTTATGCTATTAAGAAATAACAGCAGAAGAAAAGGCAGTTTAAGAATGTAAGTGGGGAAGGATAAATCACAGATAAAAAGATAAAGTAGCAACCTGAAAGAGTGATGACTCAAAAAGGGAGCATACATTCTAATTTATAATGCAAAAGGCTCCATTGTCATCATCCATCTTAGCCTACATGCAGCACACAGGCTTCTTTGCAAGTCCAATAATCAGTTTTCATAAGTAATATCCATATTAAATGTCCCTCAACTTCATGCTACATTAAGAAGATACTAATGTGTCAGGCTCCTGGATGTCTCCCACTTTATCCCTTAGAACTTAGAGAGAGACAACTGGGAGCCTGTAAAATGTTTCTTACTCTAATGGAAGGAAGGAGAGGCTAGATGAAAAATACCTGAACAAAGAAGTACTGAATATTAATCTAAAGCTATAGTGCTTTGAAGTAGAAGGGGATAGAAGATAATTCTTGTTATCAGCTACACTGTTCTTCTCTGTCCCATGAGTAAGTAAAATGTCCAATCTTGTCGTAAGCTCTTTGGCTGCTCAGCCTCAGATTACCTCTAAGTCTCCAGGCATACCCTGCACTTCCCACCATCCCTTCTTTTACTTAGTTTTTCTTGTCATTAATAGCTTCTAGGAGCTCTGGTAGCATAGTGCCTAAGGCACTTGACTGCTAACCAAAAGGATGGCAGTTCAAACCCACCAGCCACTCCCCGGAAGGAAGGTTGGGCAATCTACTTCCGTAGTGATACGACCTCAGAAACCCAAGGAGGGGTTGCTATGAGTCGTGCCTGACTAGAAGGCACATAACAACAACAATAGGAGCTCTGGTGGCGTAGTGCCTAAGGCATTTGAGTGCTAAGCAGAAGTGAAGTTTTCTCCTAAACCTTTCTTAGAGTACATAGCTTTTGCTGTTGTTAGGTGTCATTGAGTCATCTCTGACCCATAGAAACCCCCTGTACAGCAGAACGAAACACTGCCTAGTGCTGCACCATCCTCACAATCCTGGTTATGCTTGAGCCCATCGTTATAGCCACTGTCTCAACCCATCTCATAGAGGGCTTTTCCCTTCCTCAATTACCCTCTACTTTACCAAGCATGATACCCGTCTCTAGGGATGGTTCCTTCTGACAACATGACCAAAGTAGGTGAGACTCTGGCCATCCTTGTTTCCAAGGAGCATTGTGGCTGCACTTTTCTGGGACTGATTTTCCGCCACTCATCTGTCAGTATGTCATACTGTGGTGGCTTGCATGTTGCTGTGAGGCTGGAGGCTATGCCACTGATATTTCAGAAGCCAGCAGAGTCATCCTTGGTGGACAGGTTTCAGGAGAACTTCCATATTAAGATAGACTGGGAAGAAATATAGGACTACCTACTTCTGAAGAAAACTGCCCACTGAAAACCTGAGACACTGACAGTGAAACATTGTCTGATACATTAGTGGAAAAAAGTGTAGCTTTGTCAGCCCCGAATTTCTTGTTGTCTTGGGAAGTAGATAAGCAGACTCTTCGACTTTGAAGAATTTTCATGCTAATCACTACAGGGAAATTGTTAATGACCATAAAACTAATGAAGTATAGAAATGACAATGGTGTCCAGAATCTTACCAAGTTGTAGTCTGGTCTTTCGTTTCTAACTCTCTCACAGAATGGTGATTAGAAGCCCCTTGAGGTGCTTTCCAATTTTATTACTGAGGATAATGAAATTTTGTTTGATCCTGTCTCTCTGTAAGGTTATGAGGAATCCTTCCTAAATAATAGTCCTTTTCCCATTCTTGACCTGAATATTCTAACCAAACATATGTAATTGGATATCTGTGTTGGTCAGATGAAGTGACACCTCTTCAAATGTGGTCACCCAACCCAACAATGATTAAAACACCTTTCAGAATGAAAATGGAGTGTAGAATCCAAAAGTAGATGAGAGACAAAAGGAAGGGTTAACCTTTGGGAGTTTCTCTGAATTTAAATTTTCCTCATGACTTGTTCTCCAACAACATAGATGAATGCTCACCTTACGACCACAACTAAAATTAAACTTAGGAAAATGCTATTACATTTGAAATTATTGTATCAATTTTAAACTCTATCTGTGATGGTATCCTAAGCAGTTTTAAGCTCTATGAAACTTCTAGGGCTTCAAGTAAAATAATGGATTCTTAGTAGTAGTCAACAGAACTGGATGAGAAATACTGCTTCTTAACATTATCACATATTAGCATACACTGGTATTTGTCCTCAACCCCTGTAATCATGATGCCTTTGTTACTGGACCATGTTACAGGGGGAACCATATTAGATGAACATGTTAGTGCCTAATCTTTCCTGAGTCCATTTTTAAGAGAGGTCATATATGACTAAGTTCTCCACTATTGTGAAATCATGTGAGAATGGAATTCCTACATAATAATAGCACCTAAGTGAGAGAGAATTTGACTTTATTTATTTAACCTGAGGAGACAGGAACCCTGGTGCTAACAAATGCTGTTGGTAGAAATGATGCATGTGATATTTAAAGATGGGGACTGCTAATGTTATAACTCGTAACCATTCATCTAAAATGTATGTAATTCCACCATGTGACAGGCCCTATGATAAGTGTTAAGAGTGCTAAAATGAATAAATATCATCCTTGCTCTCAAGATTATACCCTAGTGAGAGACTAACATATGCACTAGAGTCTGTGCAGTTCTGAAGGATAGGGAAGAGGTCCCAGAGGAGGCATCAAAAAACTCCAAACTCACTGCCATCGAGTCAGATCCGACTCATAGCAACCCCTCCTTGGGTTTCCGAGGTGGTATCTCTATGGAAGTAGATTGCCCAATCTTCCTCCTGAGGGGCGGTTGGTGGGTTT